GGACGTGAGAGTTTGTGCAGTCCGGGCTGAGGACAATGAGACACAGGAGATGGAAGCCATGGCTGCGAATGACAAGGACAGCCAAGAGGTTGCACTGAACATGGCAACAGAGTCCCACTCCATGGACAGAGGAGTGAAGAGGAGTGTTGAGAAGAAAGAGAAGGAGGAGATGAATGAGGAGGAAGATCAACAAATGTTGGCCTTGATGCAAGAATTATCTCAACAGGTTGAGCCGGATGCCCCAGCAGATCAGGTCGAGGAGACCCCTTCAAAGAAGTTGAAAGGTGAAGGAATCGAGGACAACCAGAGATCACCAGGCTACACCACAGAGGAGTCAGGGGATGTCATCGTGGAGGCCAGCAGCAGTGAAGATGGAAAGGTGCAAGCCCGCATGGCAAGATGGCAGAATTGGAAGTTGCGGAAAGGCATAGTGAAGGAGGAACCTATGGAGTTGTCGGATAGCCCCGTAGCGGATGTGATCGAGGACAGTCACGTGTTCCCGGTTAGAGGAGAAGCAACAAGCTTGTATGGGTTCATCTCAAGAGAACTAGCATTGCTGGAGAAGATGCCCGGCTGGCATGCTCTACCCAATGGCATCGTTGTCCATTCCAGCCCTCAAGCAACTCACTTTCTGGACCCAAGCATGGCATTTGGTCCAGAATGGTGTGGACGGATGACGTTGTTGAAGAAGAAGGACAACAGTGGAGCATGGGAACAGGTGGAAAGCTTGGCAAACTATGTGGACACTCCATTGCCATACCGACCATTGCCGGGAGGACCTCGGGCGGCCTTGACCTTTGTTGCGCCGGGATTGATCCGTGACTACTTCGTGATCAGCTCTGAGGTCCCAGTGAGCCAGTATCCCTTGTTGAGCGGGGAGCCATCCTCGTGGCTGGACGATGAGAGGGATGAAGAAGGAGGTGAACTGCCAATGTTGGCCGCTGGAAGTGGCGGACGACCAGAGATTGCGGAGGATGTTGCCTTTGTGGACCCTGATGAACTGAGGATCCAGATAGATGAAGCCTGGTTTGACAAGGAGACAAAGTTGAAGGATTTGCAAGAAGTGTGCAAGCAGTTGGGCTTGGCAACATCCGGTTCCAAGATCAAGGTGTTGCGGCGACTCCAAAGCTACAAGCATCACCAGGAGGAGAAGATGGCGTATGAGGTCGCCCAGAGATTGTTCAGTGAGAGCAGACGAGAGGCCATTCCGCTGACAACACCAAAGCTGCCAAGCCGTCATGAGCAAGAGCTTCATCAACTCACGCACTTGCCTTTTCAGTCCTGGTGTCAGCAGTGCGTCGCTACTCGGTCGAGAGAGGATCCCAGGACAAAGGAGGATCAGGCTGACCGGAAGGACCGAGGAAGACCCGTGATCAGCTTTGACTACGGGTTCACATACACCACTGGTGCTCCTGAGGACCGACAGTGGGGCACAGCTTTGTATGTGGCAGAATCAGAGTCCAAAGCCACCATGTGCATCCCAGTTCAAGCAAAGGGGAGTGCCTCGCTGAAGCAAGTGACGGAAGAGCTCACCAGATTCAGCATGCAGGTCTGCAATACACAACCCATCATTTTCCAGTCTGATGGGGAAAGAGCTACACGTCAGATCTTGAGAGCCATTCAGCATGCACGAGCTACACTTGGCCTGACTACGGAGATCAGAACAACATCCCGAGATCAGCACGCATCCAATGGCCAGGCAGAGCGGACAGTGCAATCGGTGAGGAGGTTGGCGAACACCCTACGCCAATTTGCTGAGGAGAAGACTGGAGTCAAAGTGACGGGAGATATGCACTGCTATCCGTGGAGTTTTCGGCATGCTGCATGGCTGATGCTCAGGTACAGGGTGATCAATGGTGCTACGTCCTTTGAGGTGCTGACGGACAGGCGCTATGTGGGCAAGGTAGCTCTCTGGGGAGAAACAGTGCTCTTCAAGGATGTCACAGCCTTCAAGCACAAGGGTGAGCCCGTATACAGAAAAGGAGTATGGGTCGGAAAGAGTTCCTGGAGCGACAGTCACATCTGCCTGACACGGAGTGGTGCAGTTGAGGCCCGATCTATTCGACGCCTACCTGATCAGTTTGACGGCCAAATGTTGATCAACTGCCGAGGTCTTCCATGGCAGTACTCTGTGCAAGGCATCCTGATGAAGACAAAGTTTGCAGCGCGTCAACGACTGGCAGATGCGGGGTGACGAGCAGGTGGAGAAGGAGGCCAAACTGATCGGAGAGCAAGTGGCTGTTGGCATGTATGGCCATGGACCCATCGCAGGACCAAGCACACCAGGTGTTCCTCCAGATGGGTACCCGAAGACTCCAGGTAGGACGCCCACGGCACCAACTCCGGCACCAAGGACAACAGCAGCACGAACACCAACCATTGCGCCGGTTCCCGCAACACCGGCAACAGCAGCTGCACCCAAGACACCAGCAAGGCATGTACCGGCAGGTGACAAGAGCAGCAGACCCTTGGTACCTCGAGAACTCCCTCGAATCCCACTGGCAGCAGATGATGACGAGAGCCCAAAGAGAAAAGTGGTAAGGCTTCCAATTCCCGAGGCCATGAGAGGAGAGCCAGCAAGGAATTTCCCACCAGGACCTCACGAGGTGGAGACAAGTCCAAAGAGGCAGAGAATGGAAGAAGTTGTTGGAAACCTTGCACCAGTGACACCTCCACTTGGAACGAAGCGAGAGTATGCTCTGCCTTGGGACGATGAAGATGATGAAAAACGGAGGATGAGTCCGAAGAGGAGGATCCAGAGTGTCCAAGAGGAATTTCCTGGCGGAGATGAGATGGTGGCTGAGGAGGTGTTGCAACAGCAGCTCAATGATGTCAGTGATGATGAGGACGTCGAGGTGAGTAAAGGAAAGCCTCCGGAAGTCAATGAGGAGGAGCTGATGAAGCTAGATGCGGAGGCATGCAAGCATGAAGAAGAGCGCCTTGAGAAGATGGGTGTTCTTGAGAAGCTGAAGGAAGGAGAAGTTGCTGACGAGGATTCATATGTCCTGACGTCGAAGATGGTCATCACTTGGAAGCACCGAGACGAGCAAGGTGGCTGGTTTAGAAGAGCACGCCTGGTTGGGAGACAGTTTAATGGTCAGTCTTCACAGAGGACGCCTTCGCTCCTACATCAGCTTCAGTGGTGGTAAGAATGCTCCTTCGATTGCAGATGAGGACTGGTTTGGCCCTCTACACGTTGGATGTGAAGGATGCATTCCTGCTCATGGACCAGCCTGAGGATGAGAAGGCGATGATCGTGACCGAGAACGGTACATACAGGCTGAAGAGAAGCCTCCCTGGTCAGAGAAACGCTGCAGCCCAATGGTTCAAAGGATTCTGCAAGGTAGCAAAGGAGTTCGGACTGGTCCAGGACGTGATGCAGCCCACGATGATGAAGAAGCCTGATGGTCCAAATGAGATGAACGAGAATGGCAAGCTCTATCTGACCATCCACGTGGATGACTTGCTGTTGATTGGGCACGAAGCTGAAGTGGAAAAGTTCATCAAGTACATGGACACTAAAGGCTGGAAAACGGAGAAACGTGGGCCATTGTACTCAGGGAGCTTCAACTACTTGAAGAGAGAGATGGAGCTGATCGACAGAGGCATCACAATCCGACCGGACAAGCAGCACATCAAGGAGCTTGCACGATTGACTAAGGTCGACTCATCGGCAGCTCGCTCTTTAGCCGGTCGAGTTGGTGTCGGAAGAACGCGACACATCGCAGCAGGGCTCCTATGGCTGCAACAGAAGGTAGGGTCCAAGGAGTTGAGAATCACTGGAATTCCTACAGCAGTCAACACCAGTGACATCGGCACGAAGGTCTTGAGCAAAGCGAGGATGAGCGGATTGAAATACCTCATCAAGATGATCAATGGAGATGACGAGAAGATCGGATATGCCGAGTACCAGGAGATAAAGATGAAGGAGGACCTGAAGAAGAACACCGGCAAGTTAGCGAAGACCCTCGGAGCAAATGCAAGAGTTGCAGTAGTGATTGCATTGTCTCTGCTGCAAGGGGGTCAAGGGGCAGACACTCAGGAGCTTGAGACAGAAGAGAACGAAGGCACGGACACGTGGTGGGTTCGGCTGCTGATCACTATGATCTGCTTGGCAAGTGTTGGGGCCTTGAGCTTGGCACGGATGACTTTGCAGGCAGTGCAGACATGGTGCAGCAGGAGACGAGGCCATCGACAACCCGTGCAACGACGAGAAGAAGAAGAGGATGCAGATGATCCGCATGTGAGAAGAGGAGTGCAAGAAAGCACCGACCAGCAGGAAGAGCCGCGCTACGAGAATGACCCTGAGAAGGTGAACATGCAGTGGCAAATAGTTCACCTAGAGGTGGCTGTGGCTGAGCAAGAAGAGAGATTGAAGGAAGCTCGAGAAGAACGTGACCGGCAAGCACGTGAAGTGGTGAGAATGTACAATATGTGCTCTGAGCTGCGCTTCGAGCTTGAAGCAGTGAAGGAAGAGAAGGACAAAGCCCAGAAGAAGGCTATCCAGGTGGCTGGAACTGATGATGAAAGAGCTCAAGAAATGGAAAGGATGGCCGAGGACGTGGCCAGGGCATGGGAAATGGTTGAGCTTTGGAAGAAGCGGGTCACGGAATGCCAAAGGCAGGGACAAGATGAACTGAGAAGTCGCCTCCAGGAAGCTAAATTTACTTTGGATCGAAAGATCTGGAACATTGGTAAGACCAGTGTATGTTACCATCAGCCGGGGTGTGGACATCTGGTGAATAGCACCGTGAAGACACTAAAACCCTGCGCACATTGTGTACCGGAAGCCATGGGGACGGTGTTAAACTTTCCTGAGAATCCAGTGCAGTCGATGTCATCCGGTACACAGTAGATCACATGCTATGCACACAGGCCCAAACTCGCTGTGAAAAGGAGCAGCGCACGTTGTTTCACATATCGGAGATAGTGCGAACCCTCTCAAGACGGCCTTTTCCAGAATGTTTGGGCGTGGCCGATCTGCTTAGCTCGCCCGCCAGCCTGCGACGAGCTCGGGCCTTGCAAGAGGTCTTGCTACATGAGGCCAGGTGGGTCGGTGTTCCTGCTGCGCTGCAGAGACTTGTGTTTGTGATGATAGGTGTCACAGACCTTTCCCCAGATTCCATTGATTGCGGAGGAACTTTGTAATTTGATGTAATGTGAACCGATCCTGGCGTTACAGAAACTTGTAATTACGTTCTGTATAGAGTCAAGGTCCTTTAGTTGTTTCTCCCTAGTCGTTCAGCAAATTACACAGATCACTCCTCCACCTCTGGGGGCAAAGTTGGCCCATGGCGTAGGCTGCACGAACACTGGATGTGCTTGGCCGCGAGGTGGGGAGGGAGGGATGAGGGAACGGGGTTAGACGTACTTCATCATGTGTGTATGAGTGCTTCATGCTGGGTTTCAATTGAAGCCTCGAAAAATCACTTTATGAGTTTGTTTGCCTATTGGTGGAAATCACACATTCTCATGACCTGTGAACGATAAAGCTAGGTGGGATGCAGTTTCCACCATGGATTGCTCACCCCACATGCCAAGCTGCATAGGGCCCAGGGCTGACTACGCTGCTTTTTGAAGATGCATCCAGTGGCATGGTTTTGGTGGGCCAACGTCACAGCCCATATATGCCCATATCCAGTCAGTAAACTAGAAACCCTGACCTTGCAGCACGACCTGCCGCTGGGACAGGTGGCGGAGGCCTCCCTTGGCCCAGTGTTGGCCACCTTGGGCTTCGAGCGGAACGAGGAGGATGGGCGTCCCCATTGAGTGCAGTGAGAGCATCAAGTGCAGGGTGGTGGAACACATCCGGAATACGTCGGGTGATTGGAACCGCCGGTCGCGAGTTTCGTCCAGGACGAAGCGGTGCTGGGGGCGTTGAAGGCCATGCAGAACGCACTGCAAGAAGAACTGGTGGCCGGAGAGGCGCGGATCAAACGACGAGCAGTGGGGAAGACACCAAACCGATGTGAATAAATACTGTAAGTATCTGTAAGTAATTATTTAGTAGATAGGGAGGGGAGAGATTTGTGTCACAACCCCCTTGAGATGTGTTTGAGGTCCACGGCTTTGGGTCCAAGAAGCGCATTTTTGAGACTGCACTGATGCTGGTCTTGGGATTTGAGTGCTGGGCCATCCTAAAGGAGATGCAAACTGGCCAGTGGTAGGTTTTGCGTGCCTTGCGCTTATGATGACTCGATAGAGTGTGTTTATGATTGTTTATGCATTAACAAATCGTCAGTAAAATCCCACTCTAATTGACCGTGGGGTTCAATGTAGGGTAGCGAAAAGTTTCAGTGGGGTTCTGTTCAAATTGCCCATGTTTTTTTTGTGCTGCAGATATGCTGAACGAAGCAATTTCAGCGATTCACGTCATTGAAGCGGATCACAGAATAGAACTTGGAGAAGTCACACCCACGAGGTTTGGCTGCCAGCTGAACAGCGAGGAGCATAAACCAAAAGGTGAACTGGGACCCAAACAGAAACCTGCCACTAAGCAGGTTGAGATCTTGTTGCCACCTCCGCGGTAGCCTCGAGGGCCTCGATGCTTCCGCGGAAGCCGCGGCTGCCGCCCGCTACTATCGCCCTTGCGGCCATCATATACACAACAATTGTTGAGCGACATCTTGCCTGAAGGCAGGCAAGGTCCTTGCATCTGTTGATTTTGCAAAGTATGGATGCATCGTTTCAGAGGCACTTTCATTCAGTGGAGCTTTTGGTGAGAGGGGCGCCGGCGTGTTCAGGAGCACAGATGACGGCACACCAATTGCTGATCTCGGACGTGACGAAAAAGAGTCACATCTTTTTAAAGGAGCAGCAGACCCCAACAAGGCTGCTGCAAGAAGCCCATGAGCTGCATGTGATCGGGCCCGGGTGCCTGGGGCCCAGGGGACGACAATGCCACTTTGCCGTGTGTTTATAAGTTTATTGAATCTGTGGCAACCCTTTGGTTTTGACCAGCATTGTGATTTAACATGATTTATATAACACCCTCCACGTATTTTGGGTGAGTAGCGATGTGAGGGAATGGGCTGGGTTCAGAAATGCAAGTTGTGCCCAGACGCCAAGCTGCTGCAACGGGCCAGCTTGGGGAAAGAGCCAATTCTTGAAAGAAGGCACCTGTGAAATTCATTTGTTACAAGTTCATCCGACCCAGAAGAGACAGAGACCATTGATGTTGGCCCACCCTGGGGCGCCGCCACAGCACCTCCAGGCTGAAGAACTCATCCGGAGCCCCTTTCGCAGGCGCGCGTGGTGGACATGGCTCACATGGCGGGCTGGCGGATGGAAAGTATCCTGTTCTGATGGAAAATGGTGTTGTTTTTGACGCTACTAGGGGCTCCTGGCCTAACTACTAGAGCAAGGACGCTACTAGGGAGGGTTCACTCAACTTTTGGTGCCGACTTTGAGGTCCAAAGGTTGTTGGGGAGTACCTGATCTTGAGCATGGAATCAATCTAACAAGATGAAACCATGAGAAAGATTCCATATTAAATTATATTGCTACATATATCCATGTGCGATGTGCATTTGTCGAGTTTGGTAGTTGCTTTGTTGCTTCAGTTTATATATATATATATTTGTTCAGACATGAAGAATCCTGCTGGTACAGATTGGTTCGCCTGAGATCATGTACTCTTGATATGATATGTCATCATCTATGAGGTTAGATCCTACTACTGTGCTCCGATCGAAACTCCTCCGACGCGAGAACGTCAGGCTGCGGGCTGCGCTGTACACGCATTTCAATGCTATTGTATGCTCTATGATATATACTTAGGGTCACAAATACATTTCTGCATATGTCTCATTATTTATATTTATATATCACAACCCCTACCTCTAGTTGGCGTCAGATGGGTCAGTGTGCTTTTTTTCTTGGTGTAATTGGTGCCAGTTGTTTCTATAATTCAATTTCATTTGTTATAGCCCACGCTTGAACAGCGTGACTTGAATAGTTGGACGGATTTGAACACTCACTCGTCTGTCTCGTCGCACCCTAGTGTGGCCTGTGGGGAATTGTTTCTTTGCAGAGCAGGGCACTTAAGGCTTTATCGATGAACCAATAGTTTCATTGGTGAAAAGCATCCTACACCACTTAAGGCTTGAGATGACCTATAAAGAAGCGACTACAACGCATTCATCAGTAAGCCACCAACAAGAATGGCAAACACCCAACTCATACCTGGTAGCGCCCTCCGGTATCCAATGTTTTGCTCGATTCAGATGGCCAGGTTTGTGCAGAGCCTTTTGAGACGAATGGGCACAAGGCACTTGTACACAGCCACCCACCCACTGGTGGTTGGTTCAATGCGCAATTCTAGAAGATCGCTCTCCGTGTTCATGGATTGCCACTGGAATACCATCCTCATTGCATCTCGACCGGAAACTAGTTTGGGGCACCACCGAGCATGACAACATTGGGTTCTGGTGAATTTTCGCATGCTGTCCCTGCCAGTTTGGTAGACTCTCATTCCATAAACCAACCAGAATGCCAAAGAAAAGGTGGGGGCATAGTCAAGCATTCAATCTGAATATTACTATGTATTATTGAATGTTCATATACTGTGTATATATATACATAGATATATATATATATATAATCTGTGTGTTTTAGCGTGTTTGGGTTGATTGTTTCACAAGTCATGCAAGATCACACCGACGGGCTGACTATGTTGCTTTACCATCGCCTGCAGGCTAAACGCTCGTCAAGGCCTCTTTGAGAGTGCTGATGTGGCCCGAGTGCTTTGGGAGGCACGGAGCAGAGTTGAGCAACAAATCGATGGTCCTGGCAGAAAGTGGAACCGCCTTGGCGGGATTTGTCAATCAGATGTACAGTGGCTTCGGATAACCACAGAAGGTTTGGAATCGTGCTGGTGCCAGTTTTTGGCAAACGAGTGTTCCAATTCACAATGAAATACTCCTATGAATGAGAGCACCATTGACAGGCGAGACCCTTCGCTATGGCTCTGCAGATGCGTTTGATGGCCATGCTGTGGCCTGTCACGAAGGGCTGGGAGGGCTTGAGCGCGAGCGAACAAGCAATTTGGTAAATCGGGTGTCGAGTGGAAGCCCTGATGCGTTGGTGACTACCTGGATGTGGACCTGGTACTGTAGGTTTTCGACAAGGATATCTTGATTCCATCCCGTTATAAGCACGCCATCCAACGTTTTGGGCCGGTGCCGACCATGTTGGGTGCGACTTACAGGCTCCAAAGATTTGAGCGGCGTCTTGGAGATAATGAAAAATTATGTGTATATATATACATAATAAGTTAATAATAATATTAAAGTTTCGGATTCGTAAGAGAATGAAAAGGTTTTTGATAATATTGGTCCCCCGGTTCTTTTTTTCCTAAAGTAGATTAAAACTGCAAGTCGGTTGCTCCTATTTTCGAGCTTAAAAGCGGCTGTCGAGTGTACACTTCTCGTTTTGTGCGGTTCATCCTTTTGGACGTGCACTCCTCCCTGGTCGACAGGTTTTTTTTTCATCTGCCGACCAGCATTTCGAAAAAGCGAGCCGTAGGCTCAAACCGCTTCACGTTCCGCATATTTTACATTGGCGGATTTCTAGCATCGGCCCCGTCACTGCGTTGCACCGAGCATCGGTGTGGTGGTTTCCGAGCTGATCCTCGTACACGAAGCTCGCTTCTCTGAGGTCCTCTGGCCTTGGGTCGACCTCTGGCATGCCCCGCACACCGGATGCTCTTGCACTCGATTGGCATTTCTCAGCCCTCTGCAATCCCGCCTTCGATGGAAGCATTGGCTGGACTCCGCAAACCAGATCTGCCATGTAGGTTCGACGGCAAATCGTCTCCTTCTTCCAGTCAGGGTGATCTGCAGCCGTTGTCCCCCTGGTAGGTCAGCTTGATTGGGTGGTTCTTCTTGCGGTTCAGCTTGTGTGGGATGATCTCTCTCTTGACCTCCACTTCTCATGTCCCCCTAGCACTGGCACTCATTGGTGACAACGAAGAAGCACTCTGCCCCATGTCGTTCATTCGTTGTTGACTTTCTCCCCTTGGGTGTGATCCTCCTTGCGTCCTTGTAGAAGACCTTGTCCCGGAAGAAGTCCGCTCAGTTGTTTGAGCAACCCTCATTCGGCGCACTGTTGGTTCTTCCTCCACCCGACCCCATTGCAGGCGGCATCGCTGAAGGATCTTCATGAGCACCATTCCCAGCAACATCATCATGGCGCTGAGGATGTACAAGATCTGGTCGCCCTCTACGTTCTCATCAACACGCTCGGTGACATTCTCGGCCATAGCTCCATGCACCTCCTTCAAGGCGGACAGCACCACGACGATCTTCATGGCCTTCTCCAAATGGTATTTGGCCACCAACTTCATGGCACGAGGAGCGACGATGCCCTTATCTTCTTCATGGACTTCATCAACTGAGTCAGGTTGCCATGACATTCCCATTCTCTGTCTCAACTCATTGACTCGAGCCACTGGCAAAGCCTTGGTGCCGATGTCCGCAATGAGTTCTCGTCCTGGTTGGTACTTCAGTTCCCATTGACCTGATTGAAGTCTCCATTTGAGGTGAGCAGCTCGAACCTTTAGGTGCCTCGTGCGCCACGCTCCAGTAGCACAACTTGCTATTGATACTGCAGCGGTATTGTCGCACTTGAGGGACTTTGGAACATCTCTCACCATCTCATCAACCAGACATGCGATGCTGTCTCCGACGACCACTGCCTCAATGACTTCAATCAACTCAGCTTCTGCTGTCGACAGTGCAGGAAACGGCTGTTTGCAACTCTTCCATGCCACTGGCGCACCAGCCAATGTCGTGATCACACATCCGTGGCTGTGGGCTCCTCCTGGGGCAAACGATGCGTCGCTGACTGACTCCAAGATGAAGTTGGCGTCCCTTCTGTACCACAAACCAAGTCCCTGGGTGGCATTCAGGTGCCTAATGAGCTGATAGGCCGTTTGAACCGCCCATTTTGGTGCCCGACTTGTAGCTGAGCAAATCCTGCTGACCACATAGGCGATTGTCTTTGTAGCCAACCAAAGAAGCTCGCCCCCGAGTTGTTGTGCCTCCCGAATTTGTAGAGGTGTCCGGTCCAGCTCGTCTTCAGGTTCCTGAGAGTCTTTCATCATTTGAGCACTGCAGAGGTCCTCCATACCATGTCTCCGAACCACTTCCCTCAAGTAGGAACATTGATTGGCAAAGAAGTCTCCCTGCTCTGTCAGACTCAACTCCATACCACAGTACCGAACAGGTTCTGCGTCTCCCACGAACCGAGGTCTCCCAAGTCTTTCGAAAGCTCTGTAGCCCACCTTCTACGATCTCTCTGGTGCCAAACAGCATCACATCGTCCACGTACACCAAGCTGCGCACCAGCCATAGGTTCTCCTCTGCAAAGCTCTGTTGGTACTCATAGGTGATGTGGTTCGCCTGAAAAGACATTTGGCTGCAATGTCCCTGTAGTCCCCCCAGAGCTTCGGAGACTCTCGTAGGCCATAAAGAGCTCGTTCAACCAGCCACATTTCCCCCTCTTTGACCAATCCCAAGCAGATGAGGATCTTGGGCGGAAGCATGAGTACTAACCGTTTTCTCTTGGTTAGGTTCTCCTCCTGCTCCTCCGGGATGCACTCTTCTTGACCTTCGTGACCTCCTCCGTCGCCACCCTCATTCTCGTGAGTCCTTCCAAGGCGAGTACCTTCTGCCGGCTGCTCTCTTGGAGAGTTCGTAGAGGGGCGTTCAAGAAGGCGGTCTTGATGTCCAAACTGGCAGCTTGCCAGCCGCGCGATGCAGCCAGTGCCAAAGAGGTTCTCAGGCAAGTCGTGTCAGCACCCCCTGCGTACAGCTGCGCCGCTTCCGATCGATCTCCTGGACCCCTTCCAGCTCCCTTGAGGTAGTTTCCACACACCACCAAGCGACACTTTCGGAGTCAATCGTCGAATTGCTTTCTTGCCCTCCAAGGACTGGATCTCCTTCACGATGGCCTCGATCCATAGTGCTCGATCCCTGTAGACTCTAGACCTCATCGTTGGGCACAATGCGAGTCTGCAGGATTTCATCCTCCAGGAGCCTTTGGGTCGACGCCACTTGTTCTTGCCTCAGTGCAATCAGGCCTCGACTCAGAGGTGGAACTTCTCTCGGAGCAGATCCCAACAGATGACCCTCCTCCTCATAGATGGTCTGGAAGAGCATCCGACGGTCATCCTCCCTTCGAAGATCTTCTTCACCTTGGATGCACGCCAGTGGGGTCTTTTCCCGCAATCTCCACCGAAGTCGTATGGGATCATCTTGAATGTGTACCTCCTCCATGACAAGATCTCGCTCATCCGGCTTCGGCTCTTTGGTGTCTCTGATCAAGTAGCTCACCACCTTAACCGTCTCTTTGTCCGTGAGCACAGCGTGTCCCTTGGACACCTCTGGAGTGGGAGTGAGGTAGGTCACCGTCTCGGACCTCGCCTCGAAGGGTCCCCCACGTTCCCACTGTAATGAGTTGTCCAAAGCGTGGCAATTTTTCTTTGGTGTCCTCCCGTCTCCTTCTCTCCAGCTCAGTCACGTGTCTAGCTGCAGCTGGCCACCACTTTGTGGGCATTCCTGAGGCATGTAGAAGGCGACGGACTCGTTGTTTGATCGAAGCAATCGTGGCCTCAGCCCTGCCATTCGACTGATGTTCATCAGGAGGACTGAAAGTTCGAGCCACCCCCCTTTGCAGGCACCACCTTTTGAACGGGTTGTTGTCAAACTCCCTGCATCCTTGCCACAGGGTAGCCGTGTCGTCTCAGCGTGCCAAAGAGCTCCTGAGTCCCTGCTAAGACCTCGGAGGCGCTCTTCGAAGCCAGCGGAAGGCATATGGACATGGTGACCATCTTGTACACCTTCTGCTGCTCCTCCGTCTCCTCCGGTGTCTTTGGAAGTGGCACCGGCGGTACATCTTGGCCCTCGGGTTCTGGATCCGGCAACGGCTGTTGCTGATCACCTTCTCCCCCACCCGGCTGCTCACCCACTTCGTCAAGATCATCAAGTTCTTGATCTTCACCTTCTTCAGACGTAGGTCGATAGGACATGTCTTCACCAGTAGCCTCCAGATCTCGAACCAAATCATACTCCACCTCTCGAAGGGCTTCCTCTTCTTCCAGCGTCGGCCGAACCTCAACCTGTTCGACATCATCCCACGGAGCCTCCTCCATGACCGGCCAGGTGTACGCTCCCACCAGCAAGTACTTCTTGGCCAAGTACGAACGGACCCGTCATGTCCAGTGAGAGAACACATGGAGCCGCAATTCCTTGAGCTCGATGTGGTCTATCCCGAGCAGCAGCTCTTTGACACACTGCGCAGTCCTTGCGGAACGGTACATGCCCTTGTGCAAGATGTTCCTGCCAAGACAGTGCCTTCATCGTCGCCCGTTTCCTTTGTATGTTGATGGTGATGCTCCTTGCAATCTCTCTCATCATCCCCGGGGCCCACCTCGCCAACTCCGAACTCGACACCTCGTGTTTGGTCTTCAAAAAGGCCTTCGCAGGACCACGATCTTCAGGGACCATGAATTCCATATTCAGCGCCAGTGAAGTAGGATTTACCGCCATTCCCCCATAGGCACCCTGGTTGAAAGTCACCAAGTCCAAGTTGAGGTGCTCCTTCATGATCTTCCATTCTTCCGTCCTCCAGAAGGATGCCACTTCCGGCATATGCTGAGGCGCTGCTGGTTGTTCCATGAGGAATCTGACCATCGGCAACAGGTTTGTGCTCTTCTCTTGAGAAAGCCGCGCATCACGACCCAATTTGGCCGCAATGTACAACGTCACCACGCGGAACAACAACACGTCGTCCAAATGACATTTAGCTCTTTCCACCTCATCCAGCTCATCCAGACCCCATGGCCTTAAATTCCCAGAGATCGTGACGGCCCTGGTAGGCCTGTGACAGGATGGTGCCGAAGTTCACTGCGAGTACGGCAATTAGGGCCTCCAATCACTGCATCGACCCAGCCCAGCATGGCAATACGATCCTTGGACACGTCGTGGCTTTGAT